TGCTTCCCTTTACATTCTGGCTTTTGGACTACATCAATCAGCTAAGCTTACACTGGCTACTCACTCAGTCTCAGGCAATTTTGCAGTGTTTGCCCACATGGTTCAAACAGCTGCATTTTCCCAGTCCATCAAGGAGTGGCTGCCCTGCCCCTGTGCATATCTGCGGCTCTCCCATAACTGCTGCCACAAAGACAGGCAGTAGTAATGGACACCAGCTTTTCCACCTTTTCACCAGGTGAAAACATACTTGAAATTCTGCAGAGGCACCCATCCTTGGGTCATCTGCCCATCTACATGTGGCACTGTTTTCTCAGGTTTTACAGCACCCAGCCAGCTGTCAGGTTTAAATGGCACCCTCCAAGCCTTTTGCCTTCAGACAAATGCAACATGTGTTTACTACATAGTCTCTAGAGCACATTACACCATTCACCCCTAGGTCTCATAGTTGGAGAAGCTATGGGCTCTGTCTGTTTTTACTGCTTTACTGTCTCATTTTCTCATGCACAACAGGTAATGTCTGGAGATGCACGATTTCCCTAACTCACCACTGGGTTGGTCGTCTTCCCTGGTGTGAGAGGCAGGAGTGGCCAGTCACTGCATGTTGTCCTCCAGGACATTTATCCATGCTTCCAACAACTCTGCTTTCTGCCACAAATCTTGATTGGTTTGCAGCATAGTGAGCAATAGCCAGGCTCCAGTCAGCAGAAAAGTGGTCACTGGGCACCACATGCTCAAGGACAGCCACATTTCCTCCCCTTCCCAAGGGGTTTTGCATTGTAGTACCTGGTCTATGCTGCCTTGCAGTACAGTGTGCAGCAACCAGATTCTGGTCAACAGGAAGGTGGCCATAAGGCACAGTATATTCACAAGTAGCCACATTTCCTCCTTCTTCCAAAGCCTTTCGACTCCTGTACCTGCTCAGAATCCTGTCACAGACTGCACCAATTGTGGAGCCCTTTTAATCCTGCCCCGACTATGTCAATTTTGGGGCTACTGCTCTTGTCACTAATGTCAGAATCCTGTTGACATCGCCAATCATCTAGCTCTTAATCCTGTTCATGACACCAATTGTAAAGCTACTCAACCACGCCATTTGTCAGGCTCTTTTACCTGCTGGTAATCCTGCACTGACTGGGCCGATTGTTGAGCTAAGTCTGGATCTGGAGCCCACAGGCCCCTTAAGCCCATTCACAGACTGGGTCACTAAACCTTCACACACCAGGCTGGGTCCCCAGACCCTTCACATGCCAGGCTGAGTCCCCAGACCCCTCACATGCAGGTCTATGAGCTAGGTTACTGGGCAAAAGGTCTTGCAGACGCCCACTCTCCTGCTTCACTAAAACTCCTCTCTCTCTCTCTCTCTCTCTCTCTCTCTCTTTCTCTCTCTCTCTCTCTCTCTCTCTCTTTCTTGAATAGCAACAAAACTAAAAAGATGCATTGGCGTGCATGTGCACTAACTCCACACACATACACACACACACACACACACAATTTGCTTACAAAGGATGTGCTAAAACCACACCACTCAACTGGACCTGAGGCGAGGGCCCTGACCAAACTATTCTATTTTCCTGACACTATCATAACTATTCAGAAATAAGTATCCTAGGTCTAAGGAGTAATTGGCTGAGAGATGAGCACTGCCCTAAGGTGATTTGATCAGAGTGAAACCTTGTAGTTATTTGATTGAGGAAGAAGTGAGTGTATAGAAGCTCTCTGTATTTTGGTATCATGAAGGATGCTAATCTGGTTATGAAATCACGGAGGGGGGGGGTTGGGGGCCTAAGCCAAAAGAATTACAGAGAAATGCAGCTGAAAACTTGATAAAACTGCCTGAAACCTAACTTATCATTAGACTCTTTATTTGTTTGCATCTATAGATTATTTATATCTTAATTTGAATTAAATTTTCTTTTTCTTACAACAACAAGATATCATAACTAATGACTATCACCAATGGTCTCCTAATTGCAAAACTCAGTCTTTTTGAAATTCTTGTCCTTTTAGATTTCTTTGAAGCACTTGAGACTATTGACAATCTTGCCATTTGAAACCCCTTTTTCTTGACTCCCTGGTTTCTTTGCTCTCTCCCTTCTTTATTTACAAAACATTAAAGAAAACTTATAAAATAAAATATAGGAAAAATCATAAAATATACATAATTTTAGAATGTCCATGGGGGCTGGCCCGGTGGCACACTGCTACAGTGCACCACTTGGGAGCACGGCGGCGCTCCCGCCGAGGGTTCGGATCCCACAGACAGACCGGTTCCCACTCACTGGCTGAGTGAGGTGCGGGCGCAACGCCGAGGGTTGCGATCCCATTGCCGGTCCCGGTCCGGTACGGGCGCGACACTGAGGGTTGCGATCCGTTGCCGGACACGAAAAAAGACAAAAAGGAAAAAAAAAAAAAGAATGTCCAAACACATCAGTCAAAAACTTAGCTAAGAGAAGTGATAAGAAAAGTAGATAGAGATAGAGATGAGAGAGGGAGAGAAAGGGAAGGATATTATGACACTCCATTTTGTCATAAATCTACTAGGTATTACAGATTACATCCATCCACATAGCTAGATCACTAGAAAGCTATGTATGATCTGGAGCTTATTGTTTTAATATCTTCTTGGCCACAAAATCACAAGATTAATTATGAATTTAATAAATACGTAAATTGAAAACAAACTGTTTATTATCATTTGGATCTCTTCCTGCTACCTCATCCTGTCTATCTCTGTAATGGAATCATCTTTCCTTTTAAAACCTACTCTACTCTCTGTCTTCTTTGTCTTATTCTTTATGGTTCCACTATTCTTTCAACTTGTTCAGACAAATTTCTCCTCTTTCTATCCAGTGTCTTCCAGATTTATTTCTTCCTTTTCATTTTTACTGCCAGAACCCACATTTAAACCTTTTTACTTTAGATTTGTAGGTCTCCCAGCTAGTATTCCCATCCCCATGCTACTACTCCAATCCATTTAGTATACCACCCAAAATCCATCTTCCAAAAATAGATTTCCAATCAATGAGTTCCCATTGTCTTCTACAATAAAGACAGTCTCCTTTCTCTTGCTTTGAAGGCTTTTAACTCCACAAGCCTTTTTGCTCACTCCTAACTTTCCCCTAGCATGACCTGCTTCCATGGCTTTATCTGTATTGTATCTACAGCACAATATAAAAACGCAGCCCTCACCGTTTTTCCCTTTCAAAGTGTTGTGTCAAGATTTATTTATTAAAGCTAAAAGAAAATCTTATTTTACTGTTTTATAGGCACTATGCTTAGAAACAAAATATCAGTAGATATATATTCAAAATCTGTTGCATTTACAATTATGATCATACGACTTTTCACCTCTAGCTCTATAAGCAAACTTTATACAATAGCATGTACAGGGAAAAAGGGACTCCACATTTAATCTTCATACCTACAGACACTTTTTTTTTGTTTTTTCCTTCACACTGTTTATTTATTTATTAAAGATGACCGGTAAGGGGATCTTAACCCTTGACTTGGTGTTGTCAGCACCACGCTCACCCAGTGAGCAAACCGGCCATCCCTATATGGGATCCGAACCTCTGGCCTTGGTGTTAGCAGCACTGCACTCTCCCGAGTGAGCCACAGGCCGGCCCCCACACTGTTTATTTTTGAACAGGTCATATATGTTGCAAAATTCAAAAGTTACAAAAGGCTATAAAATGTAAAATAAGTTACCCTCTCCCCCCTTTTCCCCTTCCCACGGTTCCTCCTCCCTGGAGGCAACAGTGTTACCAGTTTCTTGCCTGTTCATCCAGGGAGAGTTTACTAGAGATACATGTTTAATTTATGTATGGATCTGGGATTGGTAGGTGTGCATTTAAACTCATTAAAACAACTGATCCAATTTAAAAATGGGTGAAAAAATCTGAACAAATGGCTTCCCCAAAGAAGATATATGAATACCTGCTCAATATCATTAGGGAAATGCGAATTAAAGCCACAATAAGATAAAACACACCTATTTAAGCAGCTAAAATTAAAAAGTCTGACCACAGTAAGTGTTAGTGAGGATGAGAAGAAGCTGGAACTCTCACATGCCACCATTGTGAATGAAAGATGGTTCAGCTACTTTGGAAAGCAAGCAGTTTCTTAAAAAGTTATGCAAACATCTATCATATGACCCAGCCATTTCACTCCTAAGTATTTACTTAAAAGGAAATACTTGTATATGTCCACATAAAGCCTTATATGTAAATGCTCATAGCAACTTTATTTGTAATAACCAAAGAAGAGGGAACAACTCAAATGTCAATGAACAGATGAATAGATAAACAAATGGTGGTATGCCCATAAATGGAATACTACTAAGCAATAAAAAGGAATAGCTACTGATACATGCAACAACATGAACGAATCTCAAAATCATTTTGTTGAGTAAAAGAAGGAAAAAAAGTACCTATTAAAATATTTCATTGGTAAAAAATTATATTTAAAAAAGACTAATCAATAGTGATACGTATAACAAGCAAACTAATCTATGGTTCCTGAAAGGTGGGTAGGAGTGGTGAAAGACATGGATTGCAAAAATGCACGAGGAAACTTCTGGGGGCGTTGAATATGTTCATTATCATGATTTTGGTGATGGTTTCACGGATGTATGACTATGTCAAAATGTATCAAATTTTACACTCTGTGCATGTCAATTTATACCTCCATAAAGCTGTTAAAGGGAGTTAAAACCAAGCCCCAAATTCTTTTTTTTTTTTTTTTTACACTACACTTTCTTTAGGATCGAAAGAAACCTAAACACCCTCTCCTTCCTCCCCACCCCCACAAGAAACCCTCACCCGATACCCTCTGCCTGGCCCCTCCCTGCAACCCCAATCCCTCCTGCTGGGTGTCTTCTCTCTGACGCCCGTTAGGGGGCGCCTACGGAGGAGGTCGAAGCCCTTGGCTGTCTGACTCAGACCAACTTCCGGCCCACTCCGTTCCGCTTCCGGGAAGACGAGCGGGCCAGTTGTATGGGTTCCCAGCGGGCTGTGAGGCTGAGGATATCAGGGCCGGGGAGTTCTTGCATCGCAGAGTTACGTGCCACGGCGGCTGCTTAGGGGAAGTGCACCGGGCTCGCCGCTGCCCGGGGCGGTCCTTTTGTTTCCATCTGAGTGGAGGGAGAGTGCTGCCATGGCGGCCCCTGCGCAGCCCAAGAAAATCGTGGCCCCCACGGTGTCCCAGATCAACGCGGAGTTTGTGACCCAGGTGAGCTCGGGCGAGTCTGGTGTGTGTGAAGGGGTAGGGACGTCGAGGCCCCGAGGCCTGAGGCTGGGATTTTCTTCGGGATTGGAAGCATTCGGGAGGCAGTCGTTCGTCAGTTCATTGACTCGGTCAGGTCTTTTAGTGAGTGTCTGCTATGTGCCGGCCGCTGTGCTGGGTGCTGAGAATACCGTGCTGACAGAGGTCGCCCTGCCCTCAGGAGTTCACGGTGCAGGGTCATATTTGCACTTGTGTAAAGTCACTTTGACAGACAACATAAAAAGAAAACCTCTGCATGAGTTTTGCTGTATTGGAGTTTATCGCAGGAGCCCTGGATTCAGAGGAACTGACCAGAAGGCTTCGCAGCAGAGGTGATGATGCTGGACTGACTCTTGAAGGAGGAGTAGGCTTTTTCCTGGTTATAGAGTAACCAAAGTTTTTGAGAGGAGTGATGAGAGTCTGACAAGACACCTGCTCCAAACAGATTCATCTATGAAGAGAGTAATCCTGTCGTTTGAGAGCGTTCATTTAGAAACTGTATGCTGTCTTTCATTGCCACAGTTGGCTTTGAATATGGAAACACAATCCTGTAGCCCTCAGCAACATTCCGAACCTTTATTACTTACTTGAGAATAGGGTAAGAGGGTGAGTGTCTCAGTGTAGAAGTTATTATGCCCACCTGCTCTTCCTTCTCTCTGCCGTTTCAACATATTTCCAAGGCAGAAGCCTAGGAGTCATTTTGAGTCCTCCTTTTCCTTGACCCCCACATTTCTGCTTTCTAAATTTGTCTTTAATCCATCTGCTTTTCTACACTTCTGTCACCCCAATCCAGGCTGCCATTGTTTTCTGCCTGAATCAAGGCATCACCTGTCATCTTGTCTTCCCTCTTGCTCTCCTCCAGCCCATTCTTCATGTTGCTGTCAAAGTGATTTTACACAAGTGCAAATCTGATCATGTCACTTGCCTTCTCAGGACAATGACTGGAATTCTTCAAAGCATTGTATGATCTGGCCTTTGCTTGTACTTCAGTTTCCTCTCTCCTCTCCATTTTTAACTTCTGCCTTAGCCATACTGAGCTGTGTTTATTTGAATGTGCCATGCTGTCTTTCATCTCCTGGCCTTCCAACATCGTTCCCTTTGTTCGGAATCCTCATTTTATCCCACCATCCTTTATTCATTCTTATCCTGCTGCGCTACTTTAGAGAGGCTTTTCTTAACATCTTACACTAACATACCTTTCCTAACATACCTGCATTTTTGCAGTAAAAGTTATTAGTGTCCTGCTCTCATGCAGCTTACGTTTTAGAGAGGAGAGCCAGACAAATTAACAGTATAGTTTCAGACATTAATAAGTGCTATGAAGAAAATGAGATGGGGTGTTGTGACAGTGACTGATGTGGGGTGTATGAAAGACAGGAAAGTCCTCTCTGAGGTGACATTTGAGCTAACACTTGAATACAGAGAAGGAGACAGTTTTGGGAAGAGCAAGGAAACAGTCTGGGGAATAGCAAGTGCAAATGCCTTTAAGAGTGAATGTAAAGAAGGCCAGGCTGGCTGGAATATAAGAAGTGAGAAGAAGAATGGTATGAGATGAGGACAGAGCAATAAGTAGGGACCCGATCCTATAGTTTCGGAGGCGAGGAAGTTTGGATTTTATTCTGAACAT